AAGTCCGCCACCCGCAGCCAGCAGCAGCAGAAGCTCTCCGCAGAGCAGCAGACATCGAGCAGCAGCTCGAGGTTTGCTGCTGCTGCTCTTGCTGCTGCTCCTGCTGCTGCTCCGGCTGCTGCTTCCCCAGATCCCCTGCTGCTGCTGCGGCAGTCTCAGCGGCCGCCGCCAGAGCGCAGCTGCCGCTGCTCTTGCTGCTGCTGCAGATGCTGCTGCTACTGCTGCAGTTGCTGCTGCTGCTGCTGCTGCTGCTTGTGTCTCCAGGCCGCCACTCTAGGCCGCAGCATTTCTTCTTTGTCTCCTTCTGAGCTGGAAGATCTTGATTGGAGTCTTTTAGATGCTGGTGCGTTTTTGCTGCTGCCATAATTATTTATTTCCCTTTTCTTCAACTTTTTTGCTGCTGCTGCTGCTGCGGCAGCAGAAGCAGCACAGGGGTTGTTTCTCTGTGTTGCTGCCTTCTCTGGTACTGCTTTGAGTGTCTTTGTATGTATTTTCTGGGGGCATGCAGCAGGAGCAGCAGCAGCAGCAGCAGCAGGTTTTGCTTCTCTTTTTTGCTGCTTCCTCTGCTGCTGCTTTAATAATCAATTATAGTGTTGTTTGTTTTCCTTCTTCTCTGCAGCAGCAACAGCCGCACAAACAGCAACTTTCTCTTCCCCTTAGCTGCTGCTGCCGCTGCTGCTGCTGCTGCTGCTGCTGCAGCGAGGGCTTTGAACCCCGAGGTCTCCACCGTGGCAAAGTATTTGCTGCAGGTCCCCTCGAAGCGCTTCAGGCCTTTGCTGCTGCTGCTGCTGCACCGCGCGCTGCAGCACTGCGTTCCTGGTAAACCCTAAACCCTAAACCCTAAACCCTAGCTGCCAAACTCCAGGCGTAAACTCTAACCTCCAAACCCTAAACCCTCGGCCCTGAGGGCCCACGGGCGTGCAGTGGTGCAGCAGCAGAAGTTCAGCAGCAGATGTTTCTTGAAACTTTTATTTTCAGACAATAATTAAATAAACAAGATTTGGAAGCAGCAGCAGCAACTGATTTCGTGTTTGCTGCTGCAGCACAAGACAGAGAAAAGAGCAGCAGCAAAGAAGTGCTGCCACTTATTATGGTCCCCGTCGTAGAGCTCATACACACAGCAACGTAAGTGAGCAGCAGAAACACCTCGGGGCCCCCAGGTATTTCCCCTAGAAGGTTCTAAGGCCCCTTGGGGGCCCCCAGGGGCTCCCAGGGGCCACTAGAAGGCTCTGAGGCCCTCTGGGGGCCCCTAGAAAGCTCAGAAGGCCTCTGGGGGCCCCTTGGGGCCCCTGGGGCCCCCCAGGAGATCCGGAGGGTTTCTGGGGGCCCCTGGGGGCCCCTAGGGGCCCCTAGGTTTTCACAGAAGGGTGTGGGGCCCCTGGGGATCTAAAATTTTTATTTTTGAAGGTTTTGCGTCTCTCATTTGTTCGCCTACTTGGCTTCGAGTCTCACCCCCTCCTGCCGGCGCTGCTGCTGCTGCTGCC